AATCTATATCGTTTTTCGATTTGAGCGATAGCAGAATCATTCACCATTGATGGTTTTTCTTTTGTCGTGATTTATGGAGCTAAAATCAACGAATTCAGTGAGTTTTATTCGCTGTTATCTTTGAATTTCTTGTAATTAGGATTTCGTTTCTTTTAGTTTTTGTGGATTATATGTACATTCATATGATTGCTATTTGCACGTATATGATTTGGGAGTGATTCAATTGGAGAAAGTAGTTGTAAATTTAGTTGGAATTGAGATTCTACATAAATCGTGAACGACGGTCTCCGGTCAATAATTCTGGAGGAAGCACATCGCTCTAGATACTCTATTCACCCAGGATTCGATAAGATGTACAAAGAGCTAGAAGAATATTACTGGTGGCCAGGAATGAAAAAGGACGTTGCTTTGTACGTAAGTCGATGTTTAACCTGCGCAAGGGTAAAAGCTGAACATCAGAAACCATCTGTTCTTCTTCAGCAACCAGAGATTCCCCAATGGAAGTGGGATCAGATATCAATGGATTTTGTTGCAAAGTTACCTAGAACTAGGAGAGGATATGACTCAATTTGGGTCATAGTGGATCGACTTACGAAATCCGCACACTTTTTAACTGTTCGAGAAGACTTTAGTACGGAAAGGCTTGTGCAGTTATATATCAATGAAATCGTATCGCGGCATGGAGTACCTGTTTCCATCATATTAGACAGAGATAGTCGTTTTACTTAACGATTATGGCAATCAGTTCAAAAGGCACTAGGCACGAGGCTGAATTTGAGCACCTCCTATCATCCTCAAACGGATGGGCAAATAGAAAGGACAATCCAAAAGCTAGAGGATATGTTACGAGCATGTGTGATAGACTTTGGAGGCAGTTGGGATACTCATCTGCCATTGGTTGAATTTTCCTACAATAATGGATATCACACCAGTATCTAGTGCGCACCATATGAAGCCTTTTATGGGCGTAATTGTAGATCCCCACTCAGCTGGTTGGAAATGGGTGACAGACAGCTGACTAGGCCTGACATTATCCAGGAGACAACCGACAAAATCTCAATCATCCAAGAAAGGCTTAAAGCTACAAGAGATCGTCAGAAGAGCTACGCTGATAACCGAAGGAAGCCATTGGAATTTCAAGTGGGTGATAAAGTCCTTTTAAAAGTATCTCCATGGAAAGGGATTGTACGCTTCGGAAAGAAAGGAAAGATTAGCCCAAGGTATGTTGGTCCATTTGAAATACTCGAAAGAGTAGGACCGGTTGCATACAAACTAAGCTTACCCCGAGAGCTGAGTGCCATCCATGATACATTTCATGTATCAAACCTTAAGAGGTGTTTAACCGATGAAGCATTGGTTCTACCTTTGGAAGACATTCAAATTAATGAACGGTTACGCTTCATTGAAGAATTGATTGAAATCCTCGACCATAAAGACAAGCAATTGAGGCGTAGCAAGATCCCAATTGTAAAAGTGCGTTGGACTTCGAGGCATGGACCAGAGTTCACGTGGGAAAGAGAAGATTTCATGAAAAGAAAATACCCCCATTTGTTCGCAAGCAAGTCATGATCTGAGGTTGACGAATAAATTTAGGGACGAAATTTTTCTGACATGGGAAGACTGTGACATTCGGTCATTTCTGAGCCTTAGGTTAGCACTTTATTATAGATCCTATATTTAGAATTATAAATTTATTAGGATCTAGTCATGGTGGTTAGAGTTCATCTGACTCAGTACCCAAAGTTTAGCTTGGAAGATCACGCCTCAACAGACAACTGATAAAGTTAACTTGTGTAATGTCAAATATTTTTGAAACGTTCCAAATAAAATAAAGTTGATATTATAAACTTTTAAAATTAAAATACAAAAGTCTCATTTGAATGTCCACATAATTTATTAAAAGACAGATTTTTGAATTTAGTAGTGTCATTTTATTAATATTTGGGTAAAATTATAGTGGGTTTATTGTTATTTTGAAAAATAAAAAGTTTTATTGGGTTTGGGCCTTGAGGGGCCAGCCCACTTTCTTTTTTAAAATCCTCATATAAATACCCCACTCCCTTTGAAAAACTCTAATTTTTTTTCCAAGATATCGTCAGCTTAAAAACCTTTCATCTCTCTCTAAAATCAACCACCCTCCAGCCGATTCCATCATCAAGCAAGCTTAGGAATTCTGTCAATCTTGAAGATTCTCAAGATATCAAGAAAAAAGTATGATAATAGTTATCCTACTTTTATTGAATTTCAAAAGTTTTCATCCTCCTACTCCTATAATTTGATCTTTCGGTAAATTTCTGGAGAATTAAAGAGGGGAGGTTATTCATCAAAGATATGAAAAATGTCTTCATAAAGGATGATAATCTATGATCCGATTCTTTAATCTCTAAGACAGTAGGAGAAAACCCCACTGCATGCGAAGTCGGATCATGAAAAGTTATGTTTTGAAGTATGAAAGAACCTTGCATGCATCTCTATTGGCTTTGTCGTCTTCAAGAAGTTAATGGAATTGGAAAACATTTTCTAGAAACTGGTCAGATTTGTTAGTTCGAAAATATAATTTAAATCTTTGGAAAAATGATGAGTTTAGACCTCCAAAAGACTGTCACTCGAAGAATGTGCAATCTTTTTTGGGGGTTGTGTAACTCGAGATTGTAGAGTATTTATGAGGGACTTAAACCCACTCAAATTTCTTGGTATTTGGAAAATGTCGGCTTAGCTCATGATTTGGCATGATGTAAAAAGTGGACATAAAAATGACTTTTGGAAGGTTCTACTTTTAGTGATTGGTAAAACCCAAAAATATTTGGAACAGAGTGTATAATCTGTCCAAAATTCAGCTTTTGAGTAAACAATTTCGATTTCTTTTAATGTATAATTTTTGGGCTATTTTTAGAATAAATAATAAAAAAATCAACTTTAATTTATGAAAACTCGATGGCATTGCAAGGGATGCAACTTAACTTTATCTTTGTCAATAACCCATAAGTGACCTTAGTTCTGGTGGTTGGTCTGTTTAGGAAGTCAGGGCGGGCGTTGAAAGATTCAGACATCATCTTCCTGGATATTCACCTCTAAACCTGTGAGTTCTCACGGCCCCACTTTTAATGCTTTGTTTATTTTTATTGGGGGAAAAACATGAGATTAAGCAAACTATGCATGTTTATTTATTGAAACCATTGGACTAAAGAACTGTTTAGTCAAGCTTCGTTTGAAACCATTGGATTAAAGAACTGTTTAGTCAAGTTTCGTTTGAAACCATTGGGCTAAAGAACTGTTTAGCCAAGCTTTGTTTGAAACCATCGGACTAAAGAACTGTTTAGTCAAATTTATTATGTCATGAAATATTGACTGTTATTGCACTATAAAATAAATGCTAAATTGATGTGCTTGAGAGTATATTTTCCAAATAAAGTCCCTGTCCGTAAACGCTACTTGTTAACTCGGGCACGTTTCCGGGCCGTGGTATTGTGGATAGCCGCTATTGTGTTGATAGTCCCACCCAGAAAGAGGTGCACATTACCTATGTTTTCTTGGTGTAATCATGTGAAATTTGGACCACCGCTGAATTAGTACTACTACGAACTGTGGGACCTAAGTAAGTGTACGAGCTACTTATGGTCGTTCATAAAATAATGGGGCACGTTGGTCAGGTAAGGCTCAGTAGCGTCTCAAGTTTTTACATCGTGGTAGATTTACATTTATTAAGTGCAAAAGATTACGCATAAGTTTGCAAATATTTGGTTTATGCATTAAAATGTTTTATGCATGTGAAAACCCGTGAGCTCATCAACTCTTTGTAGTTGACTCGTTTTATGTTCCATGTTTTTCAGGTAGCAAGTAAGAATTTCAGTATTTTGGGAGCATACTCGTGGCAAAACGGATTAAGTTCGAAATGGAAGTTTTTTCTTAAAAGAAGTATTTATCATAATTTGGTTATGACTTTGAACTCTTTTTATTTTGTAAAATTGAAAGGTGTTATTTATTAATTATTGTTGTGACTCGCTTACCTGTTACATCTCGTGTTTCCGCTTTAACGAGGTGTAACATAAATACTTAGAGATTGAAGACGGATACTACTTCATGTTTGAAGACAAATACTACATCACCATCAAAAACACCATGGTACCCCTACAGGGGTGGTGTTCATTACACACATTAAAAGCACTAGCGTTCTCTGTGCTCATTCCAACATGTATTAATATAATTATAATATAAATATTAATGCAAAACAACAATTTTGGTCTTTTGAATACAAAACAAATTAGAAAAAAGGGTAAAAAGACACAAATAGCGCTCACTTAACAGCTAAGTTTAACAGAGTTAGTGATCATTGAAGATTTTAAAACCAAATGTAAATAGCGAGGACGAAAGCTATACTTATTGAATTTTAGGGATGAGGTTCATAATTGGGTATAAACCACATGGATCAAAAAATTTGTAGTTTACTTTTTTTAATATATAACCATGCTTTCTCTGTTTTTTAGGGTAAAATCACATAAAAGTTGCAAATATTGGTATACGAATCATTGTTTTGTAAATAAAATAATAAGTATAATAGCTGAAAATCTAAAGGGGCCGTTTACCAAACGCTTATTCGGGTAAGTGAATGCTAAGTCACGTTATCTTACTGGATGAATTATGGTAAAAACCAATAATCTTATCCGGTAAGAACGAGACAAAGACCAAGAATCTTACCCGGTAAGTGAGGGCGACGACTCTTACCACAGTAAGCGCTTACTGGGTAAATTGTTGCATACGATACCTTTTTGGTAGACAAAAATCTTACCCGATAAGTAAAAATAATGTTAAATTTTACCGGTAAACGTTTACCAGGTAAATTTGTTAATAGGTGGAGAGAAAATGAGAAAAAAAAGCCTTAGATCACAATGACAAATAACATAATTTTTATTCAAGAATCTATGATTCAATAAAAAAAGATTGCTTTATTTTGCATCATGTTTTTGATAAGCATCGTTCGATCGACAACGTACTCCCCATGATTACCAACATTCATAAAACTTAATATCGACACGAAGCCTGAAATACACTTCCCCTTCAAAAGAATCGGTATTAATAGTTGCAATCCCTCGATGCATGAAGAAATCCCCGGTCCCACCAACAACAAGTATGTCTTTAGTCTTCACCAAAAGCGGATCAACACCAATGAAGTTTATGGTTCCCTTGTGTTGCGTACTATTAAACACAAAGGAAAACCCTAGCCATGCCGTCCACGTGTACTTAGTGTCGTATAAATACATTCCTTGAGCACGACCCACCGGCACTGAATGAAAATTATTATCTAAGGTGATTGGATCGTCAAAGACCACTACATTCCCAAAATGAAATTTGTCAGCTAAAATTGTAAGATTTCCCCATTGGGGTGCACCTACAATCGCAGAAGTTGCATTAGCATCATTTTGACCATTATAGACAACGTCGTGAAAATAAAACACGAGATGTCTGCAAGGGTGGTATTGTCTTTTCATGCCCGAATTGGCCAAAGACACTACTAAGAGGTGACAAAAGAAGAGAAGAAAAGTTGCTGATGCTTTCATCTCAAATTAGGGTTTTGAAGTTAAAGTAGAAGAGAAGAAGAGAAGAAGAGATGTGGGTTTTCATTCAACCACTTTATCTCCTTTTATAGGGTGTTAATGGATGATCTCAAGTGAATGATGCATACATTTTCACTATTTGGTGATACATATTTTATATAAAAACCTGAAATACATATGTTCATTATTAGAAAAATTTGTGGTGAAAACAAGCATTTGAGTTTGGTTGTTCTTATTGTCAAAGATCAAGAAACCATTAATTAAACATTTATCAGGTAAGTGTTTACCAGACGTCACTTACCTTACTGATTATGCATAACAAGAATCGAGAATCTTATCCGATAAGAGACATAACAAGGACTGAGAGCCTTACTTAGTAAGCAAGGAAGATGACACGTAGTAAGCACTTAACGGGTTTAAGACGCTTACCAACAATTCATTTTGATGGTCATAAATGTTACTCGATAAGATAAGATAACTGAAGGTGATGTCTCTTGCTAATAATCACTTGCAGTGAGTGTTTACTCTATAAAGATATCAAATCATTTGCGTAGTAACCTGTCAAGATCAATCTCTTAAATAAATTAAGATTAACTTTTGTTTGTTTTTATGTACCCAATAGAAAATATATAACAAAAATTATTATTTTAACTCTATAATAATTGTTTTGGATGACAAAAAATAGAAATTTATGAATTATCTACACTAGCATTGATATAATATAAGTTCAATAATTTCATCCCAAAAATACTTTAATAACTTAAATTTACTGAAGCGGTTTGAGTAGATTTTTTAATTTTATACGGAAGCCGAATTTAAAGAAATTGTCTAGTTAAAAAAGTATATTGCAAAGGGTATTTTGGTAAAATGTTTGGCTGAATACATGGATAAGTTAACGAATTATACCATCTGTATGATATTAAGTTAAAATCTAACGGTGCTATATATAGTTTTACACTTTTACTTATCAAGTCAAAATCCAACAAAATCAAATCCTTCTAGTACCGTTTGGTATGCAGACATGATTGGATAGAACAAGAGTATATCTGGTGTTTGATACAACTAGGACTAGATGAGACAGAACTAGACAACCTTGTCCCAGTTCTTGTCCCTGTCGTCACGCCAAACGTGGGACAATGAATTCTTTTTCTATCCCATGTTGCGCCAAACGTGAGACAATGAGTTTTGTCCAATTTTCATATATAAATGATTGTATCGTATGATCAGTGGCGGATCCAGGAAATTAATTGAGTAGGGGCATGTTGGATGAGACTTACGGGAGGCAAGCATATGGTCATATGGAACTAGGTGGAAACCATGTAATACAAGGATAAAAATAGAAAATTTAAGTTATTTAACAAACGTTTTTGGTCTTTGACTGAGGCCTTTCCCCCGGTCCTTAAGGGATAGATCTGCCCTTGCGTATGATCATTTTATAATGCACATAAATCAATCGAATTTTGAGATAACCAAAAGAACGAATCTCATTTTTGAAGGCGTATGGCAATAGTTGTTACAATATTATCATCTTGATATGATATGCATCGATCTTACAATAAATGTCATAGTAAAAATACATAGGATTTTAAAATATTTATATATTTTTTTTTATCATTTTCAATAAACGAGATGACAACTTTACCGTTAATAACAACCGTAACTCCATGCTATCAACTCCTAAATATTATTTCGTCATGAATAAAAGTAAAACTGAAAATTTAATAAAGTATAATAGTTATTTTTAAATTTCCATAGTTGTTTTCGAATAAATTTAAATAGAAATGACTACTTGTTTTCGGGAAAAAAAGTATTAAAATAAATTTAGGGCAAATTGCATGAAAAAATAACGTATTTTAAATTAATTCTTATTTTGAGTAATGTAATGTCAAAACTTTCATTTAAGTATCCGGACTGGTTGAAGCATTAACCGGTTACTATGCAGATGTGGTATCCAATTAATGCTTCAACAAATAATACCGAGTTGTATACCACATCACTCGGCACATCAGCATGTTAACTGATTAATGCTTCAACCGGTTACCCGAGTACTTAAACGTTTAAAACTTTGCATTTCAGGTACCCAAATGGAAGTTCTGACATGGTTTCTTTTTTGGAAATATCCTTTTATAGTAAATTTACTTTATCTTACCATCACGTTAAAAGATGCATTTGACATGTTAACGAAATAAATAAGACGATGTTGAACTAAACTAGTTATTTATTTAATGTTTGGTACGTTAATGTGACAATTAGTTGTCTGTTTTGTACCAATGCTTGTTAGTGCAACGGTGGAGTGAGTATTATAACATATTAAGACTAAACTACATAAAAATAACTGTTTTAATTGTAAGAAACATGTTTATAAAAAACACATTTAAAATTTGGGCTATCATCCGTGTTTTAAAAGGCTTGCTATGATAGCCACCATGTATCTCTGGCCCTGTGGCACAGTGTTTTATATATAGAGAGAGAAGGGTTCAAACGAGAACCCTTGTGATTTATGAAAACGCAAGAACAACTCAATAACCTCATATTGTGATAAAAAATAAAATTAAAAGATTTCTAAAATTAAAATTGAAATTTAAAAAGATTCAAAAAATATTAAAATTAAAAGAGTAATAATGGAAAATATATCATAAAATCTTTTAACACGATTACACGATCATGATTATCATTATTTAATAAACGGTTAATCATTGATTATCATGTGATATGGGTGTGATAATCATGTGATTATCACACAATTATCACATTATCGCTTATATCAACACGATTTGGTGTGATTTGGGTGTGATAATCATGTGATAATCACACAATTATCACAAGGATTCCACTCGGCTAGGGTTAACTTAGAAAATCAACTACCGATTTGGTGTGATATGGGTGTAATAATCATGTGATATCACTATTATAACAGCGCACTCGATTTGATCATGGTTTCGATCGGTTAGGGTTAGACAATCACACATTTATCACAACGATTACTCATGGTTTCAATAGGTTAGAATTAGACAATCACACATTTATCACAACGATTACGGGCGAAATCCACTAAACGATTTGGTGTGATATGGGTGTGATAATCATGTGATATCACTATTATAACATCACTTGCGCACTCAATTTGATCATGGTTTCGATCGGTTAGGGTTAGACAATCACACATTTATCATAACGATTACTCATGGTTTCGATAGATTGTGGTTACACTTGATTGATCATGGTTTCGATAGGTTATGGTTACACAATCACACAATTATCACAAGGGGAGAGAGGAGAGTGGCAACGAACGTGCAGGAAAAAAAGGGATAATTATGACTAATTAAAATAAAATAAAAATTATAAAAATTACTTAATTACATTATTGTCCTTATTAATTTATTTATATTTAATATAAGTTAATTTATTAATTAAAAAAGTTTGAGGTTATTAAGTTGTTCTCGCGTTCTCGTAAATCACAGAGGTTCTCGTTTGAACCTCCACACATATATATATATATATATATATATGACTAAAACCCAACGAAGAAAACTATATATATATATATATGTGACATACAAATTTTTCGTTATACTTAGAAAATAACATAGCTTCGTTGTGGCTGCTAATGCTTAAGGCTTATTCTCATGGTCACAACAAGTCACAACTCATGCTATTTAGAACATTGGATATTATTTTTTAATTAAAAAAAGGAACTCCATTTTCTAGAAAAAGGATTAATATCAAAAACTATTCTTTCATGTTTTTTATGGGCATCACCAACCACCAATCCACCAATCCACCATCCACCGTTAACATCAACACAATCGTCCAAATCCATATTTCTTTTAGTAAATTAAATGGCTTATTTTATTTAATAATCTTCATTTTCTTAAATCAAGGAGTAATATCATTTCATTCAGTAACTCATGTTTTATACCTTTTTAAGTCCTCATCACCAACCACCCTTAACATCACCATCCGCCAACTCCCACCATCGACACAACCATCGCAATAAAACCACCCCAAGCAAGGAAAACCCCAAAATCGATATTTGTAATCTTAAGTTTTGAAACCAAACCCGATAAATAAATAAAAGATCGATAGAGAATATGGAGTTTAGTTCAAGTAGAAGAAAAGCCCCTCCTGCTACTTAATTCATACATGAAATACGGTGATTGATCTATATAGCTGTGTGGGATAGAGAAAATGTAAGTGTATTAGGTAGAAGCTGTCTTGTAATAAAGTGTGAGCACGTCTTATCCAAAAGTACACTTTGTATATTGAAGCACTGTGCCATAACATGTTTTGTCATAAGGCGTGAGCACGCCTAAGCAGGAAGAACCTTCTGTTTAGTTAAAAGCCCAATACTTGGCCCATGGTCAATAGGCCCATTCTCTTGTATATGTAAAGCTCGTTCAGATGTTGAGAGTGACAAGAAGACGAGAGAAAGGTGAGAAAATAGAAAAATACTCATATCTTGTAAAGGAAAAAAAGAGGTTGAGTCTTAACCTAATACAAAAGGGCTCTCTCTTTTAGTGTGGATGTAGGCAATCTTGCTGAACCACATAAATCTATATTGTTTTTGTCTCTACTTTTTGTTTACTTTGATTGCTTGTTCTTGTCATTAATGTTTTCGGTTTGAGTACGTTTGAGAATTCAGGTTGGTTGGTTTCATTTTTTACCTTTTACTCTTTTTTTTTGTTGAGCAACAATTGGTATCAAAGCCTAATATCATATTTGGGTGGTAGAGCTCAAATTTGAGGTGTTCGGGTGGTATATTCTATGGTGCACACAAGGTGTTCGATAAAAGTCTCGAGAGAGGCAAATTTTGAAACAAGGTAAATGATGTCTACAAACGGAACAGTCAAAGATGGGAATTATGAGTTAGAGAAGTTCAACGGGAAGAATGATTTTTCCTTTTTGGAGGATGAAAATGAAAAATTTGCCAATCTCACAAGGCTTTGGTGGGTACGGAAAAGAAGCACAAAAATATGTCTGATGAAGATTGGGAGGAGTTAGATCTTGAAGCACGAGCATCGATCATTTGATGCCTTGAAAGGGATGTTATTTTCTTGGTTGATTATGAGGAATCAACGGCTGCAGTGTGGAAAAAGTTGGAAGCAAATTTCATGATAAAAACTCTAATGAATAGGATTTACTTGAAACCCAAATTGTTTACTTGAAAAATGGAAGAAGGCTCTCCAATCCGGAAGACATAAGTAAATTTGATAGGTGTATGACGGATTTAAAGGACATTGATGTGAAGGTAGAAGATGAGGATCAAGCCCTTTTAGTACTTCTTTAGTTGCCGAAGTTTTATGAGAATCTTGAGCAAACAATAATGCTTATGGGTAATAGTCTTATGGTGGATGAGATTAGGGCATCAATTCTAGGGGATGATTATAACACTCGAGTTTTTTCTTTCTTTTTCCCGTAATCTCTGTTCAGTTCACATCAAGGAATTCCTTCTCGTTAGTGATATTTATGTTTTATAATTGCAAGTTTATAACCTTTAGTCAATAGGCCCTTTCTTTTTTTCTTTTGAAAAAAAAAATCTAATTCAATAAAGTGATTGAAAAGATGAAAAAGGGGGGTGGGGGCTACAGACTAGTGAATTTTGGTCTTGTCCTACCCTCACTAAACTTGATATTAGGTCACTCTTTCTTCTTGGGTGGAAAGAAAGAAAGAAAAGAAAGGAAAGAAGGAAAGAGTAAAAAAGGGGCTGGATCGTGGGAACTGAAAAGGATATATAGAGAGATCCGGTGAAGGAGGGTACGGTTCTCGTTCAAGAGAAGGAGAGGGAAGATCATCTTTTGGGGGCTGTGGAGAAACAGATTTGTAGAAGAACAGCCGTAGCTGCCATCGCACAAAGAAGAGAACCATGGCTGCTGATTAAACTCGAGCAACACACCACAGCTGCTGTTTTTGGCCGAAAGATTGAAGGACAGTCGAAGCTGCTGTCGAGCATGAAAGGCAGCCGTAACTGCCTGACTTAAAAGAAAAACACAACAGCCATAGTTGCTGGTTTGAAGGACAAAAAAATAACATTGTAACTGCTGGTTTGAGGGACGAAACACATCATCTTAGTTGCTGGTTTGAAGGGCAAAAACAGCATCATAGCTGCTGTTTGTCTGCGCGACATACCGATATGAAACAGCCGTCTTAGCCGCTGTTTGGGCGAAGAAAACAGTCAAGTTCGAAGCAGCTGTTGCTGCTGTGGGTCACGCAGCAAACAGGTAGGAAACAGCCGTCTTAGCCGCTGTTTGGGCAAAGAAAACAGTTCGAAGTAGCTGTTGCTGCTGTGGGTCACGCAACAGACGGGTAGCTAAACAGCAGCCTTAGCTGCTGTTTGGGCGAGGACAATAGGCAGAACTTGAAACAGTTGTCGCTGTAGTCAGACGTGCGCAACAGGTAGAAGACGAAGTGCAGCAATAGCTGCTGTTGTGACGCGAGAAAAGCAGCCATAGCTGCTGTTGAGGCACGAAGAAGCAGTTGTTGCTGCTGTTGGGTCACGAAAGGCAGCCGTAGCTGCTGTTGGGTTGCGATGGGGCAACCGTAGCAGCTGTTAGGGCTGCCTTATTTAACCAAGATCTGCTTCCACTTTCAGCTTTTGTTCTTAAAATTTCCGGGACTTCTCCTAATTCCTACAAAGGTGAGTTCATCTAAATTCATTCCATGAAAATTTAGCTTTTACTTATCATATGCCTCAACTTCATGTATCTACTTATTTAGATTAAATGAAGATGTTTTTGGGAAAAAGAGAGCAAACATGGGAAATCCAATTATACTACTATGTTGAGTTTAGATGAAAGGATCAAATCACTTAGTAGAATACTCTCTTTCAATGTGTTGTCGACCATTAAACTCTAAAACCCTCATGCCCCTAGTTTAGAGTTCTTTTTTTAGCAAAGTGGGGTTATTTTGCTTGTGTTAAGACGAGCGTAAGGTTCTATTATTAAGTAGGTACTATTATGCTTATGATAACGGATTCAAGCATATCACTAGAATATAGAGGGTTTGAAAGCATGAAGTTTGTTTCATTGTATTGGTGTGAAGGGTGGTGTGAGTTGGAATTAGGCATAATGATCATTATGTAAATTCCAAATCACCTTCTCACTCTCATTCAGAAATAGGCATTGCGATTATTATGTAATTTCTGAGATAAAGAGCTTGAGATCACGACCGACTACATGACTGGTTAGGTTGACGTCAATGGTATTAAACCTGTACATGATGCTCTATAACGTTGAATTATGACTTACTTTGTGTTTCATCATAATTAACGGTAAATCGGGTCTCCCCCGTCATCTTCGGATGTTCTGACCCCCCCAGTGAAATTTAGAATCTTTTATTCTCCTTGTATCGTTTAAATTTACGTCATTTATGTGTTCATCCATGCTTACATGTATATTGGGTTAGTGGTTCATTTATTTTCACTATTGGGACTCACTAGGCGTAAGCCTAACACTCTTTCTTGTAATGACTTGTTGTCAGGTTCCTTTAGCGGCGGGACTCAAAATGGTTGATGGGAGCGTTGTTTCGTAAAAGGCATTTCGTGTAGTTAAGCTTTTGGTGTTTTGGAACGTTGCAATATTTGATCATACGTTTTTGTTGGAGACGATAGAAACTCCCGTTTTTAATCTAGGCGTAGGATTGTCTAGATTAATAGGTTGTTATTTTTCGCCTCTTTATTTGTTTTGTAATCGTTTCACCCTTCCCCTTTGGTGGACGATGCTTATTAAACTCTAGTTTTCCGTTTGAATTTTTGGGTTCAAGTTAAATCTTAGCTTATGTTTTTTCCCAGGGTGTTACAAGTTGGTATCAGAGCCCTAGTTTAAGCGAACTAGGTATGGAATTAAGCTGCCTAGACTTAAGCTGAAAATCGTAAGTGTTAATTTGTGCGTTGTGGGTAGGTCTTTTAAGATAGAAGAGTTTTAGAGTCATCAGAGTTACATAATACATGAATTATAACGATGGTGTTGAGGATTCTTATGTATAACCTATTCAAAATTCCACTTAGCTAATGTTATTTTGAGCAAGTTGTTACATAAGCGTGCTTGAACTCATTATTGTTACAAGAATTTATGTTTGTGTCAGTGCCATATTATGTTAATTCTGTATTCTTTCTCTCCTAACGCTCTTCCGCTATCTTGCATGGCAGTCCTTATGGTGAACACTCGGAGTAGACGAGATACCTCACCGGATGGTGTCGAGCGGTGACTGAATCCACCGCGGATCAACCGCCTCGAACCACCATCGCAAGGGTTCATCCTAGGCAAGACGCCACAGGTGGTGGGGTTGATCAGGTTTCCCAAGTTGACATTGCCACATCTAATCCTGTAATCGAGGAGGAAACCCCGGAGTCAAGAATGATGGGCACGATGATGAATGCTATGAATAGAGCTATGGCCCAACAACAAGAGTTCTTTATGAAGTTGTTGGAGGATAGAGATGCTAACAACCGTAAGCATGAAGCAGTTGTCAATAATATTACTATTGGAGGATCTGGGGGTACCGAAAATGGAATCCCAACCCAGGAGTTAGCGACGATTGAGGCGAGACAAATGAGTAGAGTTTGCTCTTACAAGACTTTTCTATGTTGCAAACCACCGGAATTCGTGGGATCTGATGATCCTGTGGTGTGCATGAATTGGCTTCGGGAAATCGAGCAAGCCTTCCGGGCTTGTGACTGTGATGAGGGGCAAAAAGTGAAGTTCGGCTCTCAAATGCTGAGGGGTGCAGCTCTTACCTGGTGGAACATTGTCATCTCAACCATCGAGGTTACAGAATTGACCAAAATGAGTTGGGCCACGTTCAAAGAGAAAGTGATGGAAGAATATTGCAATGAACAAGAGATGGACCACATCGAAGAAGAGTTCCGAACCCTGAAGAAGGGAAATTTGTCAGTAAAGGACTACACCCGACTCTTCATGGAAAAGCTAAATTTAGTGGGATATGTGGCCCCGACGAAGAAGGATAGGATGAAAGCCTACCTCAAAGGGCTGCCTGCGGACATGATGGTGATGGTTAGGAACTCAAGAGCCTCCACCCTTAGGGAGACAATCGAAGAGGCCAAAGTCATGGAATCGGTTTATGTTAAAGGAAAAGAAGAAAGGATGTCGAGTGGTGAGAAGAGGAAGTGGGAAAGGCCTTATGCACCATCCAAAAACCCAAACCATTTCGGCAGCAACAATCGCGGAGCCTATCCCAAACAAGAGTCTAGATGGTGTCCCAAATGCCACAATAAACATCACGGCACGTGTAGCACCAACTCTACTACCACCAAATGCTTTAAGTGTGGGAAGGCAGGCCACACACGAAACGAGTGTCCGGTCAAGGGACCCATATGTTTTGGGTGCGAGGAGCCGGGTCACTTCAAGAATGATTGCCAAAAGTTGAAAACAGGTGGGAGTCAAGGAAGAAAAGAGGGAACCCCAAAAGCAACCGGTCGAGCCTTTCAGATGTCGAGAGAAGAAGCAAAGGCGTCGGCGGATGTAGTGTCGGGTACGTTTCTTATTAACTCCGTACCTGCACACGTGCTTTTTGATTAAGGTGCTTCATGTTCCTTTGTGTCCACTAAATTCTATCAACACTTGCATACGCCTACTAGTACTCTAGAAGATGCATTGATCATAGAGATAGCGAATGGTAGTCGAGTTTTGGTGCATGAAATTATTAAAGGTTGCGTGTTAGGAATTGAGGGAAAGGAATTTCGTGTGGATCTCATACCCATGGCTATAGGTGGATTCGATGTCATAATTGGGATGGATTGGTTGGTAGAGAACCAAGCGGAGATCGTATGCTCTAAAAAGTTGATCCGAATCCCTTTGACGGGCGAGGACGCAGTGCTGGTTTATGGAGAAAGAAGGAAGGGAAATGTAGTACTCTTATCCACGGCAAAGGCACGTAAATGTCTAGCTAAGGGATGCTCCTCGTACATTGCGTACGTGTTGGATACCAAACTTGAGAAAAGAAAAATTGAAGATGTGAATGTGGTCAACGAATTTCCCGATGTTTTCCCTGATGACTTACTTGGTTTACCGCCTGATAGGCAGGTGGAGTTCCGGATCGACCTCATTCCGGGAACCGCTCCTATTGCTAGAGCCCCTTACCGCTTGGCGCCATCCGAAATGCTAGAGTTGATGTCTCAATTACAAGACCTCCTAGAGAAAGGGTTTGTTAGACCGAGTTCGTCTCTGTGGGGAGCTCCAGTTTTGTTTGTGAAAAAGAAAGACGGCACCATGAGGATGTGTATTGACTACAAAGAGCTCAATAAGGCGTGAAGAACAAATATCCCCTTCCTAGGATAGACGACCTTTTTGACCAACTCCAGGGAGCAAGTTTCTTCTCTAAGATTGACCTTCATTCGGGGTATCATCAAGTGCAAGTAAGAGAAGATGATGTGTAGAAGACAGCTTTTAGAACATGATATGGACACAATGAATTTTTGGTCATGCCTTTCGGTTTGATGAATGCACCTGCAGTATACATGGACTTGATGAACAGAGTGTGTCGACCATTCCTTGATAAGACTGTGATAGTGTTCATTGACGATATACTCGTTTATTCCAAGGATGAGGCGGATCATGAACAATACCTTCGAGAAATTCTCGAAGTATTAAGAAAAGAGAAATTATATGCAAAATTCTCCAAGTGCGACTTTTGGCTGAGTGAAGTCCAATTCTTGGGTCATGTTGTCACTCGAGACGGAGTAAAGGTGGATCCATCCAAGATCGAGGCGATGATGAATTGGGAACCACCAAAGAGTCCGTTCGAAATTCGAAGTTTCTTGGGTCTGGCGGGTTATTACAGGAGATTTATCCAAGATTTCTCCAAGGTCGCTTCTTCCTTGACAGCATTGACTAGGAAGAACGTGAAGTTCATCTGGACAGAAAAGCAAGAAAATGCTTTTAGAACTTTTCAAAAGAAATTATGTGAAGCCCCGATTCTCTCCTTGCCAAAAGGATCCAAAGACTTCGTAGTTTTTAGCGATGCTTCGAAAATGGGATTGGGTTGCGTCCTGATGCAAAGGGGAAAAGTGATAGCTTACGCCTCAAGACAACTCAAAGATCACAAGAAAAATCATCCCACGTACGATTTAGAGCTAGCGGCGGTGGTGTTTGCCTTAAAGCTTTGGCGACATTACCTTTATGGCACCAAGTGCATGCTTTTCACCGATCACAAGAGTTTGAAATAAATCTTTGATCAGAAAGAATTAAACATGAGACAACAGTGTTGGCTTGAGCTATTCAAGGACTATGATTGCGAGTTACTATACCACCCGGGTTAGGCTAATGTAGTTGCGGATGCTTTGAGCCGAAAGGAGTATGGTAGTGGGATGAAGGCCGTTCTTACCAGGATCGATGTAATGTCCAATTTAATCGATCGGATCAAAGCGGCGCAGTCTGAAGCACTTTTGGAAGGAAATCTCAAGAATGAAGCAATGATGAAACAAAACTTACTTCTTACGGAAGACGACCGTGGTTTAAAGTTGTTTCAAGGACGTATATGGGTACCCAAAATTGGAGGCAATTGTGAATTGTTGCTAGAAGATGCGCACAAATATAAATACTTCATTCATCCGGGTAGCACCAAGATGTATCGGGACTTGAAATTGACATATTGGTGGCCCGTTATGAAGCTTGATGTGGCTCGTTACGTAGAGAGGTGCGTGACTTGTTTGCAAGTGAAAAAGGAGCATCAACGACTTTATGGCAGCCCTCAATCTTTGGAAAACCCCGAATGGAAGTGGGAGCATATTAAGATGGATTTCGTGACCAAACTGCTGAAAACCCTAAGGGGTCATGATACGATATGGGTAGTGGTTGATCGACTGATAAAGAGCGCTCACTTCTTGGCAATGCGTGAATCGTTGCCAATGGAGAAGCTTTCCATGTTATACATCAACGAAGTAGTCTCAAGGCACTGTATACCGTTATCAATAGTATTGGATCGAGATAGCCGTTTCACCTCTCATTTCTGGAGCGGCTTATAGAAAGAGTTGGGAACGAGGGTGAAGTTGAGTACCGCTTACCATACTCAAACCGATGGTTAGAGTGAAAGAACCATTCAAACCCTTAAAGACATGCTTAGATCATGTGTTATCGACTTTGGTGGGAATTGGGATTCTCACCTACCCCTTGTGGAGTTCACCTACAACAATAGCTATCATTCCAGTATCGGGATGGCACCTTTCGAGGCGTTGTATGGGCGAAAATGTAGAACTCCAGTGTGTTGGCTAGAAGCGGGTGAGAAACAATTTACTGGTCCCGAGATCGTTCAGGAAACGGCCGACAAGGTGAGGTGTATTCGGGAACGCTTGAAGGCGGCTCAAGATCGACAAAAGAGTTACGCAAACAAGAAGATCCGACCTATGGAATTCCAAGTGGGCGACAGTGTAATGCTAAAAGTGTCCCCTTGGAAAGGCATTATCCGTTTTGGAAAACGCAGGAAGTTAAGTCCCCGTTTCCTTGGGCCGTTTAAAGTCCCGGCCAGGGTAGGACTTCAAGCTTACAAATTAGAACTATCCCCTGAGATGGCCGGAATCCACAACACTTTTCATGTGTGTTACCTTCGTAAGTGTTTGGCGGAAGAAGAAAGTGTAATACCACTTTCGGAAATTCATGTGGATAAGGACAACTGTTGTATTGAAGAACCGGAAGTCATCTTGGAAAGAAAAACCAAGGTGTTGAGACACAAAGAAATTGTCATGGTTAAAGTACAATGGAAGCAACACCGAGGGTCAAACATAACATGGAAAGCAGAAGAGGACTTGAAGAGGCGTTACCCTCACCTTTTCACGTGAGCTAAAATTTCGAGGACGAAATTAAATCCAAGGTGGGAAGGATTGTAACACTCGAGTTTTTTTTTCTTTTTCCCGTAATCTCTGTTCAGTTCACGTTAAGGAATTCCTTCTCGTTAGTGATATTTATGTTTTATAATTGCAAGTTTATAACCTTTAGTCAATAGGCCCTTTCTTTTTTTTCTTTTCAAAAAAAAATCCAATTCAATAAAGTGATTGAAAAGATGAAAAAGGGGGTGGGGGCTGCAGACTAGTGGATTTTGGTCTTATCCTACCCTCACTAAACTTGATATTAGGTCACTCTTTCTTCTTGGGTGGAAAGAAAGAAAGAAAAGAAAGGAAAAAAGGAAAGAGTAAAAAAGGGGTTGGATCGTGGGAACTGAAAAGGATATATAGAGAGATCTGGTGAAGGAGGGTACAGTTCTCGTTCAAGAGAAGGAGAGGGGAGATCATCTTTTGGGGTCTGTGGAGAAACAGATTTGTAGAAGAACAGCCGTAGCTGCCGTCGCACAAAGAAGAGGACCATGGCTGCTGATTAAACTCGAGCAACACACCACAACTGCTGTTTTTGGCCGAAAGATTGAAGGACAGTCGAAGTTGCTGTCGAGCATGAAAGGCAGCCGTAACTGCCTGGCTTAAAAGAAAAACACAGGCTGTTGGTTTGAAGGACAAAAAAAACAGCATTGTAACTGCTGGTTTGAGGGACGAAAAACATCATCTTAGCTGCTAGTTTGAAAAGCAAAAACAGCGTCGTAGCTGCTGTTTGTCTGCGTGACATGCCGATATGAAACAGCCATCTTAGCCGTTGTTTGGGCGAAGAAAACAGTCAAGTTCGAAGCAGCTATTGCTGCTATGGGTCACGCAGCAGACAGGTAGGAAACAGCCGTCTTAGCCGCTGTTTGGGCGAAAAAAACAGTCAAGTTCGAAGCAGTTGTTGCTGCTGTGGGTCACGCAGCAGACATGTAGCAAAACAGTAGCCTTAGCTGCTATTTGGGCGAGGGTTGTCGCTGCAGTCAGACGCGCGCAGCAGGTAGAAGACGAAGTGCAGCAGTTGCAGTTGTTGTGACGCGAGGAAAGCAGCCGTAGCTGCTGTTGAGGCACGAAGAAGCAGTTGTTGCTGCTATTGGGTCACGAAAGGCAGTCATAGCTGCTGTTGGGTCGCGATGGGGCAGCCGTAGCTGCTGTTTGAGGCTGCCTTATTTAACCAAGATCTGCTTCCACTTCAGCTTTTGTTCTTAGAATTTCCGGGACTCTCCTAATTCCTACAAATGTGAGTTCATCTAAATTCATTCCATGAAAATTTAGCTTTTACTTATCATATGCCTCAACTTCATGTATCTACTTATTTAGATTAAATGAAGATGTTTTTGGGAAAAAGAGAGCAAACATGGGAAATCCAATTATACTACTATGTTGAGTTTAGATGAAAGGATCAAATCACTTAGTAGAATACTCTCTTTCAATGTGTTGTCGACCATTAAACTCTAAAACCCTCATGCCCCTAGTTTAGAGTTCTTTTTTTAGCAAAGTGGGGTTATTTTGCTTGTGTTAAGACGAGCGTAAGGTTCTATTATTAAGTAGGTACTATTATGCTTATGATAACGGATTCAAGCATATCACTAGAATATAGAGGGTTTGAAAGCATGAAGTTTGTTTCATTGTATTGGTGTGAAGGGTGGTGTGAGTTGGAATTAGGCATAATGATCATTATGTAAATTCCAAATCACCTTCTCACTCTCATTCAGAAATAGGCATTGCGATTATTATGTAATTTCTGAGATAAAGAGCTTGAGATCACGACCGACTACATGACTGGTTAGGTTGACGTCAATGGTATTAAACCTGTACATGATGCTCTATAACGTTGAATTATGACTTACTTTGTGTTTCATCATAATTAACGGTAAATCGGGTCTCCCCCGTCATCTTCGGATGTTCTGACCCCCCCAGTGAAATTTAGAATCTTTTATTCTCCTTGTATCGTTTAAATTTACGTCATTTATGTGTTCATCCATGCTTACATGTATATTGGGTTAGTGGTTCATTTATTTTCACTATTGGGACTCACTAGGCGTAAGCCTAACACTCTTTCTTGTAATGACTTGTTGTCAGGTTCCTTTAGCGGCGGGACTCAAAATGGTTGATGGGAGCGTTGTTTCGTAAAAGGCATTTCGTGTAGTTAAGCTTTTGGTGTTTTGGAACGTTGCAATATTTGATGATACATTTTTGTTGGAGACGATAGAAACACTCGTCTTTAATCTAGGCATAGGATTGTCTAGATTAATAGGTTGTTATTTTTTGCCTCTTTATTTGTTTTGTAATCGTTTCACCCTTCCCCTTTGTTGGACGATGCTTATTAAACTCTAGTTTTCCGTTTGACTTTTTGGGTTCAAGTTAAATCTTACCTTATGTTTTTTTCCCAGGGTGTTACAACGATCTTTGAAAGAGTGCAACCGGTGACATGGTTGCTGCTAGGATTATTTGCAAGAGGTAGAAGCAATGAGAGAGGAAAAGTCAAGGGAGGAAAGTCTAGGTCAAAATCTATACTGAAAGGCGGTGTTTCAAGTGTGGTGAACTTGGGCATTACAAAGAAAACTGTCCTAACAAGATAGTAGGATGGAGCAAAGACAAGAACAAGAACAACAAAGGAACGACACAAGAGAAGCAAGAGGCTACTTATGCTTCGGGAGAAGGGAGCAACAATGATTGCTACTTTATCACTTTTGATGAAGAAATACCCGGTAAGTGGATTCTTGATTTGGATTTCTCTTACCATATGTGATGGAGACCTATGTGAGAGCACTCGTTTATGGCATAGGCGACTTGGGCATATGTCGAAAAAAGGTTTAAATTTGCTTGGTAAAGAAGGTTTGCTGAAGAACTTGAAGAAGCCTTCATGGATTTTTGTGAGCATTAGGTATATGGTAAAGCATACCGGGTTACACAAAAGAAAAGACATTTTAGACTATGTGTAGACATATGTTTAGGGTCCGGTTTCAGTTACTTCCAAGGGAGGTTCCAGGTATTTTGAATTTTTGTGGTTGATCATTCTAGATATGTCTGGATTTATTTTCTGAAGCATAAGAATAAGGTATTTGACACATTCAATAAATGGAAAGCAATTGTTGAGAACAGAAAGGATGAAGAAATTGAAGACACTACAAACTGATAATGGTACAAAGTATAAGGTGCCTTGAAGGAGTTTTGTGATTAGGAAGGAATTGTTAGACATTGGACGGTCAGGAAAACACCATAGCAAAACAGGATCACTGAGAGGCTAAACTGCACATTACGAGAAAGAGAGCAAGAGTTTATGCAATCAAATGCTGGTGGGTAGAGAATGGTGGGTAGAGTCGGTTGCTACAGTTTGCTACATTATCAACTGGTCTCCTTGTTAGACCCCAACTTGTGAAAGTGTAAATAAGAAGTATCTTGCTCTAGTAAATAGGACTTGGTCTATAGAAGCTGTCTGCTAAGAGCTCTCATACAGAAGATCAAGGACCAGAGCTCTTACTCAGAGTGAAGGTTCCATTCATACAGAGCCCGCGCTCTATCTTCGTGAACGTTCAAGTCTTGTGCGTCAAAAAGCATAAGTGCTTGACTTAAAGTAACAACTCCAAGACCCAGAGCCTCTGCATAATACATGCAGAGCTTCTGCATATACAGAGCCTCTGCATAGTACATGCAGAGCTTCTGTATGCTCATGCAGAGCCTCTGGCTACCCTCTTCACGGAAGGTACGCGTTAGCCCAGACATTCTCGCAAAGCGTCTAACAGATTTAAGACGGCTTGACCAAGTCTGCTCTGCTATTCAAGGAAAGTCAAAGATAAGGATGCAGACCAATCAACTCAGACTTCCATGCCTTTTTTATAGCATAGTTTGTTAGACCTAGGCGTGTATAAGGACGCCTCCGCCTCAGGTTCAAAGTACCTGAAGGAGCCGACTTATAATATACGCAAATTCTTGTGAGATTACTTTTTATTCTTCAATTGTTCATTAATATTAATAAAAAGCATTCGGTTATTCAAAGTATTATTTACTATTTTACTTTCTTCTTTGAATATCCTGTTTAATCAATAGAAATACTTTGCTGTTCTTAATTGTTATTTTATGAAAACAATATTTCTGCAAATTAAGAGTATTTGGATTCCAACAATTGGTATCAGATCCTACTAATCAAATCAATTGATTAG